TTGTCATTAATATATATATATATATATATATATATATTTATTAACCAAGCATGTTTTTACAGATCTTGGTTTCTGTAACATGATGAGAGTTCTACAGCAAAAACAAATCAAAATAAGATGATGGTGTTACCACTGGTTTCTAAAGCAGCTAATTACATTGCCAATGTATTAAATGTATGTTTATGATATCACTGTCATGAAAATATAAAGAAAAAAAAAAGGCAGGAGTTTCCCCATAAAGAATGACACCTTCAATGATGAGCTAAATTGATTGATGAGAGCAAGGAATAAGATTTTCTATTGGAAAATCTTTTAGAGAATGATTTCTAGAGATGTGGGAACTGCATAGAGGTAATAATACATTCTCCATTGTTTTCCTTCTGTTACTGCACATTTAAGAATGTGCAAAAACATTAATTTGTCTCACAATTTTGGCTGATTTTTGCAACAATCTAACAAATGTAATGTTCTATCAAGATAGCAGCCAGTTCAGTTGGTTGACCCTTCTAAGAATTCTTGAAGAATCAAATGTTTGGGACCATCACAGTGGGAACTCCAGCAGCAGCAAAAGGGCAGGTTTTCAGATGAACCTAAAACTGTTCTTTCTCAGTTATAATTGCAGGGTTTTTTTTTGTCTTTCTGCTCTCTTGCAGGCAGCCAAAGCAATCAACAGAATAGTATTAGCAAAGCATTTGCTAGGAAAAAACCTCATCTCTGATCAGACACAAGGGGAGACCATCAAAAGTGTTCATGTATTGGTTAAACAAGACAATATTAGTACTTGAGTAGGGTGGTGTGTTGCAACAAAAACAAAATGAAAAAAGAAATAAGAGTGAATAGAAATTTAATCAATAAACATTCCCTGTTGAAGCTGAAATGAGAATCAAAACTGAAATGATGCCAAACTAAACTTTAAACAGATCAAGTGAAGCATTGCATTTGCATTGTTGCACTGATACAAGGAAGGAAGCTGAGGCAAGAGTACTGATACTGGAGCTAACATCTAGATGCTACTGTACTGGAAAAGAGACAAGCAACTAATTTAGAATTTAATCATGCAATCAAAGGTGAAGTCAAGAATCTAAATAGAACCATGCCAGCTAAACTTCAGATAAAATCAAAATGAAGCATTGCATTTGTATGTCACAGAGGGACTTGCATAAGAAAGCTGGAACAAGAATCCTGATCTTAAGAGATAAAATTCAAAAGCTGGAAAATGATACTATAAAAGAAGAAAAAAGAAAAGAAAAGGTTTTGTTTGCATCAAGGCAGAAGAATTAGTTCTTCTTGGTACTGTATAATGTTCAAAGCACCCACCAGTCCAAGCAAAAGGAAGATGCAACATTAGGGAGCTTAGCATGTTCTGATTCCCTCTGTTGAGGAGAGGTTTTGATTGGTAATTGTGACCCACTGGTGTACTGTTTGTATTACAAATGCAATAGAAAGCCATGAGATACAGACAAATGAAGTTGACCTGATGATTTGGAGGGCCTTACAACATCCACCCACCACCTCCATGCCCATTTTCTATTGCTGTTGTTGGCAACAAACATCAAACCAACATCAGCAACCCTCAATTTTTTTTTCCTTTATCACTATTGTTTTTTCCTTCCAGTGATGGAAAACATGGGTCTCATTGAGACTGATTCACCTCCTAACCATAGAAACATGCATTGGGATCAGCTATACAAAGTAGACATAGAATTAAGTCCATTAAAATAATCATTGCCCAGGTGGCATGTCCATCTAAGATTGAGATTGCAAATAATCAAGCTGCTTTTCACACAAAGAAACATTCAGATCATCTGCAAGAGCTCACAAATAACCAGGAGTTTGATAAGAGCTGAGAAGCAGGAAATACAAAATGAAGTGAGTTGAATCTGCAATCCAGAATTTGCTGATTGGGAGTGCAGAAATTTTAACAAATAAACAAACAAAGTAGGCATTGATATGAAACCAAATTTTACCTAATAAGCAAAAGGAATGCTTAACAAAGCAGTTAAATAAATATATACCAACTTACTAGTAGACAGCAAGAAGAGTTTCTACTAACATGAGAAGTAGGATAGTGGTGGGTCAGGTTTTGCAGTGCACTTAAAATGCTTCCAATACTCTTTAGTTAGGATTGAAACCAATTTGAGCAGCAAAATAGGAACTCAAGTTGGGTTTTGGGATGAGTTCAGATAGGAAACTAGAAGTTTTGGTGCAGAACAATCGGATTCAAGTATTCTTATTGAATACTTACTGGGAGAGGATTTCATGTATCAGAAGACAACAACAACAATATGGTGCAGAGCAATCAGATCTGGGGGAGGAAAATATTCTACTTCTCATGGGATACTCTGTAGACATGTTATTATTGCATTATTTTGATCATAGCCAGTGCCTAACCAGGTTTTTAGAAGATTGTAGAGCATGATGAGTAACTTTTTCCAAAGAACATTCTAGGTTAGACAAGAAGGAATTTGGTAACAGTGAATATATATATATATATATAT